ATAAGACTATTCTTTTTATACGGATGTAATATTTGTCTTGAAGCACCGCTGGGATTATGAGTTATATACTTCTTCCACCCCACTCCACTCCAAAATATTTTTTTGGAGTTTTGTAATATATTAAAAAATAGTAGTAATATTTTATTAATGAGTGAAGTGTCATTTTTACTATTTGACTTTATGTATAAACTAATTTCATATGTAATAGTATATTTATAATTAATATAAAAATTAAATGTATTTTAGTATTAATATATGATTAGCTTTATTAAAATAAATAAAAAAATACTTTTAGTGGGACAATAAAAATAGTAAAAATTTACTTTGAGTTGGAACAAAAAAAATATATTTTAAAATAAACCTCTCTAGGTATTATTTGCAATATTTGTTCTTCTAATTCGAAGAGTTCTTCATCGAAAATCATAAATTTGGATAAATGATCCAATTATTTAAGTATATTCGAGCTCATGAGAAGATTAATTCTTCAAGTCATTCAAAAAATATGTTTGATTCGAGAAAAAATAAATAAAAATTAAGTTTATATTAAAATTTTAAAAATATATATTTACATTCTTTGTGGAAATTAACAATAAAATCTTCTTGGATTCAAAAGTCCAGAAAATTTTATGTCAAAAAATATTATGGAGCATAAAATCTATTTCCATAAAATCAAATTCCTTATATATATATATATATATATATATAAACAAATATGTAAAGTTAAAGTTGAAGTATCAAACCTTAAAATCATTTAAAAAAACAATTAAATCAAAGCCAAGTTGACAAATTAAATCGACCAAAAGAGGTAATCAAATGATCCATCTACATAAGTTTATGGAATTTTGTATTTAAAAAATTTACTCAATTTTTTTTGTCTACACAAAGGTATTAGACTTTATTTTTGCATTAATAATAATAATAATAATAATAATAATAATAATAATAGAGATAAATAAATTGAATAGTTACCAAATAAATTAATATATTGAAGTGATCTGTTTTTTTTCACGGAGTTTTAGAAATATTAGTATTATATTGAGATGTAGTAGGAATAAAGTAGAAATGACTAAAATAATCTTATTAGTATTTTATGATATAAAGGTAATGACATTTGTGTAATATATTGTAAGTTGCAAGAGTATTTGTAATGTTAGATAGATAGTGAATATTTTGTTATGGGACAGACTAAAATGAAAAAATTGATATTTTTTTATGGGACGGAGGGAATATATTTTTTTTGTCTGAAATATATATATATTACTCTCTGAATGTAAATACAATAATATTAGTATTTTATGTGTGATAGATAGTATATAAGAATGTATTAACTAAAATACCATTGAAAATACAATTAATAGGGAGTAAAATAATTGTATTTTCAGTTAAAACATAAAGATATTTATTAGTATGTGCAAACAAATACTATATTAAAAAATAAATATATTGAATGTGCACAATTCACTACAGTAAACTTAAAAAATTTAAGTTTGGAAAATATAGAAAATGATATATATATATATATGTATGTATATATAGAAAATGTGCACAAATCCTAGTTTCATCTCTATTCTTGGTTGCTTGTTATGTGTGTTTTTTTTAATAGTTTAGAAAAAAAAAAAAAAAAAATTGGTTTGAATTTAATATTAAAATAATATTTGATGGAATACTTTATGAGAGAAAGAAATATCTTTTTTTTGAAAATGTAGAGTTCAAATAGTAAAAAATCGACAGTTTAGGTTGTGTTCTTTTGTTGGTTTTACCTCGTGTTTTTACGATTCAGATTATTTTTTTTTTCTCTAAAAATATCACATCAAATAATTAATTTTCTTTCATTATATTATATTACAAATTTATTTTGCATTCAAAACATCGCATCAACCTCTGTTTATATCGCATCAAACAAGTATTCAAATTCAATTTTTTACCATTAAAAAAACCAAACCAAACCAAAAAACTAAAAACCAATTGGGCTTTGTATATTTTTGTAAATTGATTGTATTTATATTTTATAATTTGCTGTAAAACCTACCAAATTTATTATTGAATTTTATTTGGTGCTAGAAAAAAATTGAAAAAAATTAAGAACAAACTTCAGAATTTAATGTAAGTATGCCCATGCTGAATTTATATGTCAAAGGCAATGAAGATATGGATAAATATGAAAGGGAATATTATGAACTAAAGTGAGATTATTTTTTTATTTTTTTTTTAATTTATTAAAAAGATATTAAGGCATTAAAGAAGAAAATAAATTATTAAGGGTTAAATATATGATTGGGAATGGAAGAAAGTATCATTATTCATATTCTCACCTGAAGAATCCTTATCTATATTCTCACTTGAAGAATCATTATCAATATTTTTTTATTATTTTTCTTTTTTTGGGTTGAAGAAGATTAGTGAATATAATTGACAAATCGAAGAAGGCATCGCAAGTACATCGCTTTCGTTTATTTTATTACGAACAGTGTTGGTCCCAAATTCGTTCAAAATCAATCAGAAGCAATATATCAACAACAGAGACAATTTTCATGATCAGACTGTAAATTCGGACCGGTTATTTATTGGATGATCAGATTGCGAATGCACACACTGGTGGTGACGAGAACAGAAAATACAAAACAATTAATAACTCAGTTTGGTTATCAACGATCTACATTTGGGGGTTCTAACCCAGACGAGTTTCACTATCAAAGCAGTCGATATTCCATGGATACAATTAGAGTTACAACTCTCAGGAAATTTATCTCCATATTTCTTGAAGATACCCCACCCATAATCTATCTTCCTCGTCACAATCAACTTAATAAACTAGTGTCTCTCTCATTTTACCCAAGAATCTACAAACTATCTCAATCTTCGTTAAAGAAATTACGTTCAGATTTTTTCTATACTCTTAAATCTATCTTTCATTACTCTATATTCTATGATAAAGCTAAATATAAACATGAGAATATTCACTTTAACAAACTCAACAAAAATAGAATTTTTTCCTTCACTATTTATTCTTACTTACACAAAGTTTGTTACAACCAATTTTTGTTATTCTCACACATGAATTGGAGAGACCAACGAGCTTTCTATATCAATTTATTTGGGTCTTCATTGAATTGATCAATTTTGAATAATTTTTCTTGTTTGATTGGGCTCAAGATAAATTAGGCCGCGTCTGTCTATCATTGTTTGTCCGTTGATCGGGCCATCTGCAAACAACATCAATCAAAACTCAAAAATAAATACAATTCACTTTCAACAAGTAGCTATATATATTACTATAGTTCAAGGCAAATATAAACTCCAAATTTTTTTTTTTATTTTTTTATGACGTGGGAATCCGCAGCCGCTACCCGAAAGTGCGCACTGAGTAAACCTCCGGTCGAACTTAATACCCTCCGATTTTGGATTTGTGAGATGTGAGTTGATATGACTTGAATTTTTTAATTACTTTGTATTTGTGTACTTTTAGTGATTTATGCCTATAATAAATTATATTTACATATATAAATATATTTTTATCATTGTTGGATTTCATATTGTTTTAGAACTTGTGTTAATTGAATACTTACATTCGTAATTATGTACTTGTTTGGTAATTAAAATGGTAATTAGGCTAATAAGTTTGCCTTAGAAATTGCACGCTCGAATATAATTTTTTTTCGTAATTGATTATTGAATATTCTAATTGAATTTTTCTAGCACTAAATTCAATTAGAAAATTTGTAGTCGGATTTAGTATTGAATTGCTAAATTAAATAGCTGAAGATTTCTTTAAAATTGGCCACAGAACATATTCTGTCACAAAATACAACTAAAATAATTCCATTTTGCAGCAGAAAAAAATCCGTCATATAATTCCGTCACAAAATATTAGCAACGGAACAGTTGGGTGTCGCAAAATATTAGTGTATAATTATATTTTTTTTAAAAAAAAAAGACAAATTATGTGGAATAAACGAAAATAAAAAATATGGATAAATTATATGGGACGGAGGGAGTAGTAATTAAATTACGAGGATATCAATACTTTGCTTTTTTTAAAATTGCTTTTTGTTAACTTATTTTTGACCCAATTAGTGCCTCGCAATTTATACATAGACTTAAAATAGAATTACAAAATAAAATAAAAAAACTGATTAAAATAAATAACCTTGTCAAATTACTATTTATAAATATTTATTTCATAAAAAAAATAATTTTGTCCCGACTAATTATATCATTTTGTTCGGACATAAATCAATCAATAATAATATTTTAATATAAAAGAAAATAAAATAAAATAAAATGAAATATTATATAAAATTTATAAAAATTTAATAAAAGTGGTGAAATAAGTAAAAAGAAATAAAAAAAAAAAATAGCGGAAAATTAATTATTGGCTAGAGTATATGCCCAAAATTTAATAACCTAACCCAATAGAAATTAATCAAATGAAATGCAAGGCTAATTCACTAATTAACTAAAAACAAATAATCGAACAACAAAAATTACAAAATTACTTTTAGTTTAAACTCTAAATAAAATGTTGTCATATAGTTTGTTTGTTTGTTTTTTTAATTGAGTTTTAATTTAAATACTACTCCCTCCGTCCACTCATAAAGTATACAATTAATTTTGGCGCGGTGTTTAAGAAATAATAATATTTTAATTATAGTGGATAGTTAAAAGTAGTGTAATGATATTTTTGTCCTTGCTTTTTGGTGTAAAAGTAATTATGTGAAGTAAAGCAAGGGTATTTGTGGAAAAAAATAAAGTATTTAATGAAATGTTTACTTTGTAATTGGACATCCCAAAATAGAAATATGTATACTTTCTAAACTGGACGGAGGGAATATTAAACTGATATTTTGTAGATAATATATATATACTTCATCGGTTTCACTTACGGTATTTATCTTGTCTCACTTATTTTGATATTTTCTTTTTAAAGAAAATTATACTTAATTTATTATAAATTTTTAATTTTAATTAAACTAATTAGCTATCTTAATTTTAACTTATAATTATTTTTATTATAAAATAATTATTTTTACTAATGCATTTTTAATTATTTTTAATGTCATAGCAAAATGGACACAATAGTCACAAGCTACTATCCCCGACCACCTTTCTCCCTTCTTCTTCTTCCTCCGCATCTTCTCCGACGACCTTCTTCCAAAACCAGTGGCGCCGCCATATCCCCTCCACCTGCTCCATCGGCACGTTCTTCGTCTCCGGCAGCAGCAAATACACAAACACCGTCATCACCGCCACCCACCCCCCGAAGAAGAAGAACAGCCCGGCCTTCATCCCGCAGAGCATCGCCAGAAACATCTGCCCCACCACAAACGTCAGCAGAAAGTTCACCGCCACCGCCGTGCTCTGCCCTGCCGACCGGATCTCCATCGGAAATATCTCGCTCGGAATCAGCCACCCCAGCGGGCCCCACGACACGCCGAACCCCGCCACGTAGACGCCGATCAGCACCAGCACGCCGTCGGCGTACCCCTTGCTCAGCCCGCCGTGGTCCCCCAACTTCGCCGCCATTAGGGTTCCGACGAGAATTTGGGATACCAGCATCGCGCCGCCGCCGGAAATTAGAAGCACGCGCCGCCCGGCCCTGTCGACGATTAGCATCGAGATGAAGGTCGTGATGATCCCGACGGCGCCGGTCATCACGTTCGAGAGGAGGGCGGCGCTCTCGCCGAAGCCGACCGTGCGGAAGAGGATCGGCGCGTAGAACGCGATGACGTTGATTCCGGTGACCTGCAATTGAATTTGATATTGTGTTTATTAGATTAAATTATCATTTAATTTAATTTAGGGTAAACTCATATTTTCGTCTCGGATGCCTTTATCATTTTAATCCGTGATTAGAGTTTGTCGCAGACTAGTGTCGTAAATAGAAAATTTTCACACGTTTAGTTTATCAGCACCAGCGACACCCACGTAGTTCGTTGGAGAACATATATCTTCTTTAAAATAAATTATAAATTTTCAAAAAAAATTGAAAATAAAAATATAGATCATATTCGTTGTCCTCCGGCTAGCCACACAGTACCATGTAAGCATCTCCTTTGTTGGAGGATTAAAATTGCAATTTTTTTTTCATAATTTGCTACATATTTCAATTACGAGATTAAAATAATAAAATAGTCTAATTACTGGACTAAAAAACTAATTTACTATCAAATTTTTCAAATTTGTATCTTATCCAGTTACATACGTCTCCGTTATGAAAAAAGAAAATGACTAACTTTATTATTATTATTATTATTCTTTTATTAGTTGATTTCTTAATTAAATTTATAATATTACTAATTTTGTCAAAATTAACAAATTACTATTTAATTATTATTTTTAATTCAATATTTATTTATAATAAATATCACTAATTTATTTATTTATTTATTTTTATTTTTAACTAAAATTTTAAAACTACTTCCAATTATTTATTATTTTTTTAATAAAACATTATTTTTTAATGTCAATATCGGACCCTAATGGACGGGATGAGTTTTATTTTTTGTTAAAAAATAAATTTTTTTTAAGCAAAATTATGATAGATAAAATAATCTTTATCTGAAATTCTGTAAAAAAATGTAATTACCTGCTGGAAGAAGGGGATGGCGACAGCCATTACTAGCTGGGGGCGGTAGCGGCGGCGGAGGATTTTCCGGTAGGGGTTGGCGGCGGCGGCAGCTTTGGATGTCTCGGCGGCGCGGATTAGGTCTTCCAGCTCGGCGTCAACGTCGGCGGTGCCGCGGATGCGCTGAAGCATCTTTTTGGCGGCGGCGTGGCCGTCGTCGGCGCGCTGGATGATGCTGTTGGGAGTGTCCGGGAGGAAGATGGCGCCGAGGGTTAGAGCCGCCGCCGGCACGGCGGCGAGGGCAAGGGAGAGGCGCCATCCCCAGCCGCCGGAGATTTTCTGAGTTCCGTAGTTGATTAGGTTGGCGGCTAAGGCGCCGATTCCGACGCTGAATTGGAAGCCGTTGTTGAAGAAGCCTCGGAATTTCGGCGGCGCCATTTCCGATAGGTACAACGGCACTGCCTGAATCCGACGATACACGTCAGCAACATCTTAGCATTAAATTTTAACTGTTTGTTAATTTAAATCATAAATGAAATTGGATTTAATCTAATCAGTTTTTACTGGTCTTCCATCCCTTTAATTTTTTCTTTTTAAAAAAAATAATAATAATTATACATTTTAATCATATTCTAAAATTTATAATTTATAATTATTTTTTATTTTAATTAAATAATTTACTCATCTTAATTTTAATATATATTATTTTTATTAAATTATAATTATTTTTATTAATACATTTTTTTAATTATTTATTAATTATCCAATACCAAATTCTATATATAAAGTAAAATAAACAATTTAAGTGGAACAAAAAAAAAAAAAAATTTCTGTCAATTTTATAATAAATGCATAAAATATCTTATAAATGCATTTAATAGATGACTTTTATTATAAATGAATAAAATATTTTATATTATATTTTCTTTGTCTAAATAAAAAATATTCCTTTTATATTTATTTTTTTTTTTTGAAAAATCACTCTCAATTAAATGTAAAAAATATTTCTATTTTTCATACTTTTTCTCTAATCACACTAATATAAAAAATAAAATAGATTTTACCTTCTTCTATTATATTTCTTCATTAATTGATCGCATTTCATTAATAATACGGTATTAAGATAATAATGTTATATCAAATATATTATACTCTCTTCGTCCGTCTCTAAGGGTTAAATTTACATTTTATATCATTATACTTAACATTAAAAAATACTTATATTTGTATAATTTTTTATACAAATATCTTGTTATTAGTATTACAAGACGCTAATTGAAATATTTTTGTAAATTTTTCTTAATTTGTACTATATTTTGATATAATAATTAATATTCAAATATCAAAACGCAAAAAATAGATAAAACTCTTAGAACCGGATGAAAGTAGTATCACACTAAATAACTATCTCAATCGTTCTCGAATTTTGTATTTACATTTAAAAAAATCATAGTTATATGTCCACTTTCTTTATAAAAAATTACAAATAAAATCAGAATAAAATTAAATGACAAAAAAATAGAATTTATTATTCAAGTTTCTATTATTAAAAAAATTAATTAATTAAAAACTAGATTCTAATATATCTAAAACAATCTTATATTTTAAAACTCATGATGCCACGACACTAATCCAATTATTGAGCATTCTTTTATTATTATTATTTTAATTTGACTAATAAAATATTATAATATTTTATGAAAAAATATACTTAGAAAATGAAATAATAAAAATAATGATGACACATCACAAATATAAAATTTACAAATTATAAGCTCAACTTTGACTGATTGTACAGCTGTCATTTATGTTGAATTTATATAAATATTATTTTGATAATATCAATTCAATAAATTGTTATTAAAAATTTATGAAAGAATTAATAATAAACTGGTCGTGTAAATAAAAGCTTTAACCACAAATTAATTATTATTTATTAAAATATAGATAATAAAATTATAAATAAATAAAAATATTTATCATAATTAAATTATATATTAATTTAAAGAATAATTAAGAAAGTATGGATGAATTATATAACACATTCTTGTATTTTACTAAAAATGCACAAAATATCCTATATTTTATTTATTGCGTGAAACTCATTGTGTTAATGGAAAATTTGTATGAAATATCCTCCTTGTCCAAAACTGATTTTTGATTCGAAATAAAGACCTAAATTACGTAAGTTTATACCAATAAAAAACGTAAAATATTTTAAATAATTTTTTTTGAATAAAATAAATAAATAATTAATCAATCATTTATTTTTATAATTTTTATAAAAATCAGACAACAATTTGTCTCTAAAAATTATAAAATGAACTATTAATAAATTATTTTATTTATTTATTTAATGTAAAAAAATTATTTAAGATATTTTGCACTTTTTATTTATATAAAATTTACTTAATTTAGGTATTTATTTAGAACTAAATATTAGTTTTGGACAAGAAAAGTGTTTTGTATAAATTTTACATTAACACAAAACACAAAGAGGTTTCACGCAATAAATAAAATAAAGAGTATTTTGTCCATTTTTACTAAAACAGATAGGGATGTTATATAGTTTACCCAATAAAGTATATCTATAGTATATTTGTCAGGGATAGAGTCACTATATATTTTCTCTATCCCATAATTTTTGTTATTTTTAATTTTATAATTATTTTTAAGTGTTATTCCCTAATTTGTCCACTTTAGGACATTGAGTTTTAGAGTTTTAAGTATTTATGTAATCAGTAAGTAATTAATAAATGTATCAATAAAATAATAATAATTTATAAAAATAATTATAAATTAAAATTAAGATAAATAAATAGTTTAATTAAAACACACAAAATTATAAATTATAAATTTTAAAATATAATAAAAAAGAGTATAGTTATATTTTTAAAAAAAAATTATATGGGACAGAAAACAGTATAATTTTTATAAATGTTTTTACCATTTTGTAGGGAAAATAAAAGAACTTTGGGTAAAATAAATTGCAAAATTTTTTCTGGTCTGAGATTATAAATAATACTCCCTCCGTTTCGGCTACAGGGTCCCATTTATTATAGGTATGAGAATTTAGGAGACGTATAATTAGTAAATAATTAAAAATATATCAGTGAAAATAATTATCGTATAATAAAAATAATTTTAAATTAAAGTTAATATAACTAATTAATTTAAATAAAAATTTTAAAAATTAAAAATTATAAAATTTAAAATGATATTAAAAAGTATAATTATTTTCAAAAAAAAAAAAAGAGATATGTGGAACTGAAAAAAATAGAAAAATAATGGATAAGTGGAACAAATGAAGTAATAATAGTGAAAAAATATAATTACCAGTTTAAAAAAATGTTACCTGATTGGCAAAGCCGACGCCGACGCCGAGCAGGACTCTCCCGAATATGAGCATGTAGATGGAGACGGCGCCGCCGTTGAGGGCGGCGCCGGCGAGGAAGGCGGCGCCGCCGAAGAGGATGGAGGGTTTGCGGCCGTAAGCGGTGGTAACGGAGGATGCAAAAAACGAGGCAATAAGACCCGCCAAGTATAATGACGACGTGAACAACGTTAGCAGGTGGCTGTCAAATTTGCAATAATTACTAACGGCCGTTTCCTCCTCCATCCTCCGGTAAACCTTCGGGAAGAACTTCTTTAAAAACGCCGCCATCGACGTCACCCCCCCTAATTAATTATCTAATTAATATCTCTAATTTCTCATTAATTAGGAGTAATTAATTCATTAATTATATTACCGGAGACTCCGATGTCGTACCCGAAGATGACGCCACCCATGGCGGCCATGACGCAAGACACTACGACGAACCATGTGATTTTTCCGGTGTACTGTCCGCCGGCGCCGCCGGTAATTTGAAAGGCTCCGCCGGCCATGGTTTGGATATGATTTCTGTTAGGGATTTGAAATTAAGAGTGTGTTGCAGAGAATTTTGGGTCAAAATTAAAGTCAAAGTCAAAATTGGGTGCTGGAAAATGAACAAAAAAAAATGGTCCCAAGTGTTTCTTGTCAATTGTCAGTCATAATCGGACAAGGGAGTGAGCGAATAATATGAGTTGTTTAATTTAACTTGTGTTTGGATATTATTTCAAATATTTTGCAATTTTGAAAATTTTTTAAAATACAAAAATTAAATAGAATATATAATACTCCTCTGTCTGTGTGGCGGAAGATTGAAGTCTTTTATAGGGATGTGGTATTTTAAGTAAGATAGATTATTAAATTATTAATAATAAATTAAAAAATATTTTATTATTTTTTTTATATATGTTATGTTATTGATATTTTAAATATTTTAATAATTATATTTCAATAAAATATATACAGTATGGATATTATTTTGTAAACAATAAAATTTTATATAATACAAATAAATAAAAAATATATATTTATTTATTTATCATTATCATAAATTAGTTATAAAAAATGAGGAGTTTTAAAGGTAGATAAAAATATTTGTTAATTGATGAGAGAAATAGAAATAAAGAAGTTTTGAATGGATTCTACGTGTAAGATGTTAGAAGTTTAATTAAATTGATCTATATTTATTAAATATATTTAAGATTGATAAACTTACTAAAAATGGAAAGGGTCATCTTTTATGGTACGTACCAAAAATTGTTTAGTGAGATAATTTAAAAGAATATTTTTTTTATATAAATTATAGATAATTATTTATAAAATATAAAAATAATAAATATGTGATATATTAATATTTTTAAATAGATATATATAATTTTTATAAGCCCATTAACATACTAAAAGCCCAACAAATATGGGCTTATGAATAATGATGCCTTTTGGGCCCAAAACTCTTTTGAAGGCAACCTAATATACACCCTACAGTTTAATGGACATTTAAATTAAGGGGTATCTAATAATGTTTCGAAATTGTAAGTTTATTTAAAATAATAAAATTTTGAACTAAAAAAATAACTTTTAGCAATTTGATTAAAGAATTATTATTATTATTATTATTATTTAATGTAATATTGTTAAACATAATACTCCCGAACTAATGCCCTACTTTCGTATTTGGAACGTCCAATAACTATTGTTTTATTTTCTTTTTTTAAACATAAATTTTACATTTTTACCCTTCATTCATTTTTATTAATTTTAATCTCTACCATACAATTAAGGACAAATTTGTCAATTCATAACAAAATGATAATATCCTAAAAAACCCGTGCAAATATACTTTAAAACAATAGAAATGAGATTGAAATGTTACTTTTTAAAATAAAAAATTTGAAAATACGATGAAACATATGATGAAACAATTAGGTTGTGTTTGGTACAGAGAAATGAGGCCAGAGAAATGGAAATAGTATCATTTCTCTTGTTTGTTGAGTCAAGAGAAATGGAACTTGAGAAATAAATCATTTCTATTTCTCTGTTTTCATTTCTCTTCCATATGCAGAGAAATAGAGAGAAATTATATTGCAGTGTATATATTTTTTAATTTTTAAATTTTTTTGTACTATTTAATTTCTATAATTTTTTAAAAATTATATTATTTTAATTTTACAAAAAACAAACTTAATTTATTTTAAAAGCATTTAATTTTTAAGACATTTTAAGAAATTGTACTAAAATATAATCTTAAAAAACATCGTATATAATTTATAATTTTTTTAAAAAAAATTTACCAAAAATATTTTTCATGAATTTTCATTCGTTAAAACTCTCTTTTTATTGTGTTAATCGTTTATTTTTGTTTGCTCATTCATATATCTGCATTTTTTTTTAGATTTCTCAAATCAATTCTCTGTTTTATCAAATAAGAGAATTAATTCTCATTCTTTATTCAATTTCATTTCTCTCCAATTCTATTCTCTATTATCATTTTTCTGCAATTCAATTTTCTGTACCAAACGCCCCGTTAGAAGTTATACAACTAAAAAAAAAGTATTTTGAATTATTATGAATAAGCCACTATAATACTTTATTTTATATAATTAATTATTATATGTATTCTTTTTTACCTTTGTACTATTTAATCCAGTCTTTTTTTTAGGGTTTGTTTGGTTTGTAACTAAAATTAAAATTAAAGAAAAACAAAAAAGAAGAAACTTTTCAAATCAAACTAAAAAAAAAAAAAAAAAAAAAAAAAACTCAAATCCAAATACAAACAAAACAAATTATTTTCTTTCGAAAAAAAATAGATTTGTTTAATTGTGTTATTTTTATAAATAAATTATTATTCAATATAATTATTTTGAATAAATATTAACATTGAAAATAATGTATCTAGAAAATTAGCAATAAATAATAATAATAATAATAATAATAATAATAATAATAATAATAAACAAACCATACTTTTGAAATTAACTAGCCTAAACATATGATGCTTTGTTCTCTTTTTATTTATCTTTTGATAATATTTTTATTATATAATAATTAAAATTATGTTTGTTTGTTGGTTTTGAATTCGATTTTTATTATTTATTAAAAAAATTAAATATTAAATCAAATATTTATTTATATAAAATTAAAATTAATTATTTCAATTTATAATTTTACTAGTCAAAATATATAATTTTTTCTCTCATAAAATATTATCAAAATCCTAATTAAACAAAAATTCAAATTAAACCCTCAATTTCAAATCAAACCAAACAATATTTTTCATATAAAATATTATATTAAACAATGAAATCAAATCAGAAAATTAAACAAAATAAATACATACCAAACTTTAAAATTAAATAAATTATAAAAATGTTCGTACCTGAGTTAGAAGAAAATGCAAGGATGATGATCGATGAAGAAGGGGCTTCACTTTTCATTTAATTTTTTTTTAATAATAAAAAAAATAAAATAAAATAATGATATATTTTTATGGAATATAGAAATGAGAAGAAATCAGTTTTGGATAAGATAGAGGGAAAATTTTTAATTTGGGAATTAAATCTACCTCATTTATTAGTTGACTAGAAATTAAGGGTTTTCTTTATATAAATTAATTTTTATTTTTTTTTTAGTAAAATAAATATCTTGGACTTATTTATTTGGGTATGTTTGATTATAAGTTAAGATATTAGTTAAAAAAATTAATTTTGGTACTATTGTAACTCACAATATTTTTATTTTTATTTTTTTATGATGTGGGAACCCGCAGTCGCTACCCGAAAATATGCATTGAGTAAACCCCCGACTGAACCTAATATCTTGTAAATCACAATTATTAAGTTTAATTTCATTGGTTTTTTTTTTAAAAAAAAAATCAATTTTGGTTTTATTAAACTAAAATTAATTCATTTTAGTCAAGTGTGATAGTTTGATTAATTTTAGTTTGAATTAAACCAAAATTAATAAAAGAAATCAATGAAATTAAAATTAATAATTGTAATTTACAAGGATACCAAAAATAATTTTTTTGGTTTTATAATATTACAATACTCATGCCTTTAGGGTTTTTTAGTAGTTAGACTTGAGTTTTAAATAATAAAATTTTAATTTGAATAATTTATTGATATAATATAAATAGCCATCGAATTAATATTTTGAATGTTAAATTAATTTTTAGTGTAATATTATAAAAAATAAATAATTTATTTGTTATTTTGAGAAGAAAAGAATTAGTGAATAGCGGGATTTAAATTTTATTTCTTCCTAAAAAATAAAAAAATAATTACAGATTTTTTGTTTTAAATAATAATATTTTAAATTGTAATAATTATTTAATATTATATAGTTATCAATGTAATATTTTGAATATTAAATTTATTTTTAGTGTAATATGATATAATAAAAAAAGTAAATATATAATTTGATATTTGGAAAGAAAAAATTTAGTAAATAGTAGATTTTAATATTATTTCTTCCAAAAATACATTATTACATATATAATAATAAAAGGTTGAAATAAATTAATATTTAATTTGATATAAATATGTATATTTAATTTAATATTTTGAATTAAAATTTATTTTCTGTATATATTAAAAAAAATTAATTAATTTATTTGAGAAATTTGGAAAGAAGAAATATGATAATAATTAGAGACTAAATCCAAACATGGTTAGAATATAGTATAATTACTTTAGTAAAGTTTATTTATTTAGAGTTTGATTTTATTTATTTTTTTTCAACATTAATTTAAATGTAATATTTTGTGGAAAAATTTTATAGAAAAAAAATGGAATGAAATTTCAAATAAACAGAACTTTAGGTTAAATAATAATAATAATAATAATAATAATAATAATAATAATAATAATAATAACAATTCTATATATTAATGTATTTTTAAATATAGTAATAAATCAAAAGTTATGATGTTTACGTATGTTCATAATTTTGAAAGAAATTTTTAAAACTCAAAAAATATATTTCCTTCGTTCCAATACAACAGTCTTGTCTACCATTTCTGTACGTCTCAAAACAATAGTCTTATTTTCATAAATAACTATATCACCATAAAATTACCCATATTTTTTCATTTTTATTAAACAATTGTCACTACTTTTGACACTAATACATTCACAAGGGTAAAAAAAAATTTTATCCATACTTTTTACCAACTCGTGTCCAATTCAATTAACACTATATTTATGGGATGGAGAGGGTATATAATATTAAAATTATAAAAATAAATCAATAATATTTTGGAAGAAAGAAAAGTAAAATAAATAAATAAAAAGGATTTGTTAGGTATGATTTCCCTCTCTATAAGATCTATCTCATCAATACATCCAAATTAAAATAAATAATTTTATATATAGTTAAAAGACAAGACAAAACATCCTTCAAAATCACTAATTATTTAAATTCGACGTGGATTTGGAGCTATGTAAGAAAATTAACATTCTTGAAGAATATATTTCATCATATTTTATACACCCTCTATTCGGGAAATTAATATAGTTTTGATCCAACCCATAGAGTAAAAAATATTCTCTCCGTCCCAATACAATAGTC